AACAGCATCTGCAAAAATTTTTAAACTTTAAGTTAGCGATGTTGTCGATTGTCTCACTTGTTCGGGAGACATAATACTGTATGTACTTCGATGGCTTAAAGTACTTTTCAAATATTTTGCCTTCGTGGCGGCAGCGGTGAACAATATCACCGCAAGCACAAATGAGCAAAGCGTGATGTTCGCGTTCACAAAAGTCTCAGGAAATGAAGAAATCATTTGCGATGCTTGCGAAACCACCGAGAAGCCCAACAGAATGCCTTTTAGTTAACTGAAATAAGCAGACACGACAAACAGTGCTTGGGAAAATGCGCATCGGCAAATCCCGGAATAATTTACTTTATAATTTGTGCATTCAATAGTTGTGAGGTTGTCCCATGACGCAACTAACAGATAGAATCAGTTCCAAACAATAGCTGTACGTAGTGAAGATACAAGGGCTCGGGCCGTATTTGGCGAAGATGAAACTGAGAGGTTCACTTACCACGACACATTTCCGCAATCAATTGTAGCAGCCTAGATTTACTGGTCCCCTTCCTTTGAAAATGAGACAGTACTGACACGAAGAGACCATTGAGACTGGTTTGACAGAGATCTGTGATAGACGAATCATCGAGGGGTATTGGACTTTTTGCAAGGGAGGGAAAGCGTTGTCTTACAACAGCCAAGTCAAAGAGCTGAGACAGAGCCTCTGCGGCCGAGTGGTCGTCGACATCTGAGAGTTCGGTGGTGAGGCGCGAAAGAAGAGAGCAGGCAAATGGCCAAGAGAGAGTGGCGTCGACATCAGGAGCCTTGCAGTAGGTTTTACCTCCAGATGTTGGGACGCGCGCGATACGCAGGCCCTCTCGGGTTCGGGTGTTTTTCATTTTGCGGCTGTTGGGGGCCTTGTTGAAATAACGCGTGTGCGAGTTGTAAATGGTAGAGATACACTTCTCCAACTACAAAGGAAACAGGAAGGCCACTGTGCATATATAGTAGTAATCTACTTCCAGTTTTCCTATGTGGTTCTATATCTCAATAAGGGGAAGCTTAATCACGGAGAGAATTTAAAATAATAGAACCATATGTGCCAAAACCCGTCGTTAAAGAGGACATAAAGCACTTATATAGGTAAAAGTAATAGCCGAGGGACGGGTCAGTCACCAATCCAAATAGAACACTAGAGGTGTAAGACTCTTGAAAAACATAAACTGAAACAAAGCGTAATATTCAGAAATAAACATCTGCATTCGCTAATTGTTTGCTATGTGCTTACCAGATTTATCGCTGCCTGGCAGCCACATCCTGTCCGAGATCCACTTCGTTTGGCTGATTTCATTTAGTCAGGTACACTAATCACGCCCTTTCAAAGGGGGACAACACGCAGGCAGAATACATATGTACAACAGATACCTATAAGGGGAACTGATACACAAAATAGGCTGCCGAGCACCTTTGACGTCCGCAAGGATCACATGTGGTGAAGGTACCCGTCAGAGGACGGGACCTCGTGTAAAATGGAGGGCACTGACGAGGGAATAGAGTCCGTCTACGTCAGACACGCTGGTGCACAGTGAACTGGCCCTCCACGAGGCACACCGACAAGCTAAAGATAATAGCGCGAGTTGTGCGAAGTCATCGATTTCCATAACCAGCGACGTATCGGGCACAAAATCTAAATAGATGACCCGTATCTAATGATTTGTCAGAACGATTTTGACGAGGTCCTAATGGCAAAAACTAACTACTAGAAACTGCAACGGAGCTCTAGCATTGAACAGCTGGGGCCACTTTAATTGGCTGGAATGGCAACCCCAATAGTTTTTACTGGCACGCAACGGTAACGACATTGAGGCAGCTGTTGCCGACAAAGTGTTATTAGGGGGGAGGGTCCCCTCAACGGGTAGCGTGTTAGATGCGCTGGACCAACAAAAGGGCCATATCAGGGTACAGCAGGCATCGTTAGAGTTGTGCATCGATAAAAACAGCCAAACAGGGGGGTAGGTCATGGTGGCACACAGAGGGGCGGCTTTGGCCGCGCCAGAAACGTGCACCCGATCGCACCTCCGTCCTTCTTGACTTAGTCTTGACCCCGGGCGCCGGTGAGTCAGGGCAGAGAGTTTGTTAGATGCTGCGTAAGTCTAATATTTGTTTAAACTAATTCACGCGCATGTTACCATCCCTGCGCCGCCCTATTGCGGAGCAAATGGTGGACATCGTCGAAATCGACGGTCAAACTGTCGCTATCAGGGGGTAATAGAAAAGGCATCTCATACGTGCCAAAATTCAACATAAAAGCAAAGTATCTCTGTGGCGGCTCAAAGGTACCTTAAAAAATGTGTGCTGATCTTTGTTTCATCATGAAATATTGACTTTATTTGCATTTTATATAAAAAAAGATTATTTTTTCTACATCGCTATGAACATTTGAAGTCGCAACTAATGTTTACGGGATAAATATTATATAAAAATCTTAATAACTTACTGAAACATCACCCTTAAAATTTCTAGTTTCAATAACAAACGAAAACTAAAAATGTGCGAATTTTACACGCCTGGTGCAACGGACGCCAAAGAACCAACGTTCAGGGACGGGGATCTAAATAGCTCGACTTCAAGATTTCAGTTGCTGTAAGGCAAACGGCTACTCGTGGTTCAACATATTGCCGAAATTTGGTTGATTTAGTTGAAAAGTTGCGTTGTGACAAATTACTATCAGAAACGCTGTATGGTTTAAAGTCGGAAATTAGATGTGGCTGTTGCACCGTAGTACTTGTAATCCAAAATCAATGAGAATTAGCATATAACAGTGATGTCAGCAGTTTTAGCGTCTGTGCAATTAATCAGAGACATCCCCATAAGGAGATATGAAGATTTTTCCCAAAATTCTCACTGAATGTGTGAGGTAGGATAGAAGATGAAGGCATTATCAAAAGTTAAACAATACAGCAATCAGACTTCTGTTCAGCTTTACCAATATTTGCTTTAGGCCAGCGGCGTCGCGTGAATTTCTAGAACTCCCGATCATTGAGAAGCATTCAATTTTTGCTTTGGTAGTCAACATCGCGGAGGAAAATCCTTAACCAACCTCTGTCGGCGAGTAAATTTCTATTTGGAAGAAGTTGGGAAAGCGTCCCGCCTTGGAAAACGCACAGGGAGATCATCTGAATCAACATTTCCTAGACCTCTTAAAGTTATCCTGACTAGTAGCCAGGAAGCCAGGCTCATTTTGTCTAGGCATTATTGGGATAAAGGCTCTAACCCTGGAGTGCTTTTTAAATGGGACTTCTTATCTGCGGAATAGATAAAACATCGTCAACTTGTTACTATGTGAAACAGGTGTCAGGGGCCGACTCAATGGCGTGCGCAAACAGCCCTCACGAAGAGTTGCCACAGCAACCGATCGATTCAATCAGTCACAATGCACTTGATAACGACACGCAGGTGTGGCGGGCGCAGGATGTTAACGCAGCTGGAACGTTACCAGGCTCCACCCACTCAAGTGCATTGTGTGACGTCTCACTCAGACTAGCACGCCAACTCACCTGACTCACCAGTCAATGAATTTATGTCCTTCTTGTGACTACCATCTTATTGGCCCAACCTTGTACATACGCGTTTGCTTGC